GTGGGGGCGGGGCTTCACCGGGACGGGGCGGGGCGTCAGGCTGCGCGCCCCCTCCCCTCCAGCTGCCATAGCAACTGTAGTCGGGCACGCGCGCGCAGGGGGATGGGCGGAGGGTGCTCCCCAGGCGACAGGACAACACGTGCACTCAGGAAAAGTCGGGACAGGGTCCTTGCCAGGGCTTTAGGCCATCAAGGGTCTTGGAGGGGGCCGTTTTGGAGGGCAGGGCCTGGCTGCAGCTCCGTTCGCGGCCTACTGGGGGCGCCCCCGGCCGTGCTCAGACCCCTCCACTCAGGTACAGAAAGGGAGGGCAGGCCCAGGGGCAGGGTGGCTTCGCGGCGGGGCAGGGGGGATTGGGCCCCTGAGCAGTGCGCTTGGGTCTCGGACTTTGAGACGGCGGGCGATCAGTGTTTCCTTGGTGGACCCTGGCCCACTCCCCTGTCTTCTGATCCCCAGTGCCGCCCCTGATTGTGCCTGCGGGTGCAGGTGAGGTGGGAGGTCCTAGGTCCATCGCCGCCGGGTACATTGTGAGTGCTCTGAAGAAAGACAACCCAACAGCTTGCCGCTAAATGCTACCCAGATGAGCGTGAAGCCCCTTCCCCAAGGACTTGGGCCAGTGTCTGGAGGCCACCACAACATGAGCTGGGCCAGTCCAGCGATGTGGGGGGGACTGTCCCCAGGGCACTGGAATCAGGAATGGGAATACTGGGGAGCAGGGAGTCTAAGGCCGGCCAGCGCCAGCTTTGCTAGTCGACTGTCCACGGTGAACCCTGACGCTGCACGGGTCCCTTTCTGCAGAGCCTGCACTCTGCTGCCAGTGTCAGGTCAGGAAGCAGTTTCAAAACAGGGCCGTCACCTCTACCCACACAGGAACTGGGGTGCTGGCCTCGGTCGGCTTAGTTCTGACCCCTTGCTCAAAGAGGCCCAGTCTGGGTGCCTTGACCCTGGTTTCGTTGGGTAATGAGGATGCAGTTAGGCTTGCCAAGTTGGAGCCTCTGGTCTCAGCTTCCCTGTTTATAAATGGGCTGGATACTATAATGGAGAACTATCTTGCTTGAAGGTCTCCTATTGCTCTAGGATATCCTTATAACCAAGTTTCCAAACTAGGAGGCCTGGTTGTCACTCTTACCTTCCCCCTATTGTATGAAGTGGTTCCTGTGCCATCTGGGATCACTGCCACCCACCCTGTGGTTGTTATCAGGTCATTTGTAATGCCTGCTGGTCTGCTCAGCTCAAAGGCTTTTGAATATCCAGAGCTCTAAAGTCAGCCTCTGCCGGCTGCCTCTGCTCAGGCTTCTGTGGCCTCCATCTTTTTCAGAGAGGCTGTGTCTCCCCAGCACCCTCTCCAAACCCAAATTTAGCAGGGCATTCTCAGACCCAGCCTCTAGATTTCTGCACTTAAACACAGTTCCCTACCAGTCCCTCCTTCCATAAACAGTGCCCCTCCTCTCCCAGGGCCCTTTTTCTCCCTGGCCAAGAGCCTGTCTGCTCCCATGGTGACCCTGATGCCACCTCCAGAATATCTCTTAAGTCCAAGTGTCCCATCAGGGTGACAAAAGTCAAAGGAAGCCACATATTGGGTTTTCCTCTTGGGCCAGCTCTGCTCTCAGCTGTCATATTCTAGATGGTACCACAGACCTTCCCACGTTCCATCCTAGACTCCTGTCATCCTCAAACCTGGCCCATAATTCATTCATTCATTCATTTATTTGAACCTGATTCCTGTCATCCTTGAACCTGGCCCGCCCATCCATCCAACCATCCATCCATCCATCCATCCATTTACTTGAACCTGGCCCATTCCTGTTAGGGGTCTTTTGTCTCTTCCTCTGCCACCAGTCATGAGAATGTCTTCACTGGACAGAAGTAGTAGCTTGAGTCTGTCTCCCTGCCTTCTGTCCTGGGATTCTCTCTCTCCCTCCTGTATACAGTGACCAGCCACGTGAGGCAGCTGTCCTGGCCCCAGCCCCACTCAGAGCCTTCAAGGACTCCCCAGAGCCAAGCAAAATTCAGACTCTCTGTCAGTTTTCCTCTTCACATTGCAGTTACCAAATACTCATGGGCTCTGTGCTAGGTTCAGCCTGGCATTTCAGGAGCCCCCAGGCCTACCCTCCCCACACCGGAGGCCCAGCTCAAAAGCACTTTCTAGAGCCCTCAGTGAGTGTCCCAGCAGTCCCTCCCTGCGGTCATGCTGTACTCCAGCCTCCGCCGTGCCCAGCAGAGCCTACATGGTATGGGCAGCGGCACACATTTGCCCTATCACTTCTGGCATCAAGAGGCAGAACGTGGGGAAAAGGGAGCTGGCTCTGGGGAGATGAGAAGCCTCACAGTGGGTCTGGACAATGAGACCAGAAGGGAGGCCAAAATTAGAGAGGGCCAAGGGCCCAGAAGCCAGTGTGGCCTAGAGAGCTGAGGTGCCCAGTGTAACTGGGCACTGGAATGTGAGGGAGATCAGCACCATGCCTGATGTGTATGGGAAGTTTAGTGAGGCTGACACAGCCCCCGTCAGTCCAAATGTGACCCCAAATGTGGAACTGCTGGCACCTCTTCCTGCTTATGTGGGAAGTGGGCAGGAGATACCCTCCCCCTGGGAGGTGGGGGATGAGCGCTGTTCCACCACCAAGCAAACAGCAGGACAAGGCACCTGGGGGCAGGACAGGGGTATACTCATCCTGCCCACAAGAGGGCCTGGGCCTGCCTGAAGGCTGCTTCAGCAGAGGAGGGGGTTTGGTGCTTTAAAAAGCAGGACCTTCCTGCTTTAGCCCCAGCCAAATGGAGGCTGAAAAGTTGTCACCAGGCACAGAGAGAGTCTGAGACAGCGAGGAGTCAGGCACCATTTTTTATAAAAACGCATAGTCTCATTTTTCACTCTTTAAAATCACATTCAAAAATCGGCAAAGAAACGCCCTGGGAGTGAGTAAACGAGAGGGAGGGTGCGCCAACCCAGCCCCTGGGTGAGGGGAGGGAGCGCGACACCACATGGCAGCGCAACTGGCACGAGGGGGCATGCGGTGGGCGAGATGGCGCCCATGGGCGGTGGCACTGACAGGACATGGGCGTGGAGCAGGACAGCCAAGGTAGGGGCCCCCTCTCATTGTGCTACCAACCTGCCCAGGCTGGCCTGCTATAGTCCTGGGCAGGGGGCTTTACCAGCCCAGGGCCAGGGAGCTCGGGGACCAGGCTAGGCCAGTGGGGCCCAATCCGCAGTTGCCCATCTGTGGTCCTGAGCCCTGGTGTTCAATGGGAGGGAGTGGAGGCTGTGGGGAGGGCAGCAGCAGCCACTGCCAGTGCCACTCTCTTGGCTGAGCCCCAATGTCCAGGAATGGGGCAGTGGGGGCAACCAGTGACATGGGCTTTTCCTGAACAAGGGCCCAAGATCACTGGTCACCATGGGAGGCCTCTGGGCCAGGGAGACAAGGGGTTTCCTCCTGTCACCAGTAGCCGGAGGGCAGGACAGCACAGGGCTTTGTCCCTCTGTTGCAGGAGGGGTGTGGTGGGAAAGTTCAAGTAGTATCCCTGTGCTTCACCCTCCCCTGGGCTGGGGGACACTGGGATACCCGGCCATGCCGTGGGCAGAACACAGCCCACAGAGCCTGAGGTGGCATAGCTCAGGGTGGCTTCATTCCCCGGGGAGGGCTGCTGCTGTCCCCCACAGGAAGACACTGGGAGTGGGTGGCTCCAGGGGTCAGGGTACAGGGTGCAGGACAGTGGCTGAGGTGGTGGCAGCAGGAGTTGAGGCAAGCGGGCCCCTCCCTGGGGACTGGGCCAGGCTGGGGCCACAGGAAATCACAATAATTACAAAATAAAACCTTTTCCGCTTTGCGGGAAAACAAATAATAAAAATTCAACAAAATAAATTAGAGGTTTATAAAAGGCGGCGGGCAGGTGGGTGGGCAGGTCAGAGGCCATTGGCACTGCCGCGCTGGATGAGCGGCACCTTGCTCAGCTCCACCACAGGCGAGCGGGGCTTGTTCTTCATCTTGGGCACGCGCTGCACTAGCTGCTGGGCCTCTCGGTAGGCGTCCCGCAGCTCCTTCTTCCACTGCACCAGCTCGGGATCACTCTGTGCGGGCCCAAGCTCCATCAGCCTCAGCTGGACACCCCACCGTCCACACCCTGCACCCCAGGACCCCACTCACATCACACTGCAGGACGAACTGCTTGCCACCCCGGATCTTGAGCAGGAGGCACTTGCGCTCCTTGATCTGCGTCTCCTCCACCGACTGGATCTCCTCCATGGTCAGCAGACTCTGCTGCGGGGTGGGGGCAGGCAGTGAGGGGCAGGCCTGGCCAGCCACCCTCATGCGAGGTGCCCCGGCCAGCTCCTTACCGGGGCCTCGCCCTCGCCCCGCCATTCTAGCCGGTTAGGGAACAGGTAGAAGTAGCGCCGCTGCCACTGTGTCAGGAAAGGGTTGCCCATCTTGGACATGTAGCCATGCATGATGCAGTCCTTGCCCAGGGCGTAGTCTGCCACAAGACACAGAGGGGGCAGTCCAGGTTAGATCCCCACGTGGCCACTTTCTGCCTGCGACCGTGTGAGAGTTTCTTACTCTTAAGTCTGTTCCTCATTCCTATAGTGGGCAGTGAGCCCTCACCTTCTTCATGGCCTAGCTGCTTGTTTTTGGCTTTCTTTCGGGCTTCCAGCCGGTCAGTCTCAGCATTGATGGTGTCAAAGACCGTCTCTGCCACCTCCTGCTGCCACCGCTCCGAGATGGTGAGGGGGAAGTTTCGGTAGAGCTCTTGGTCACTGTCCAGTAACTTCACCAGGTAGACAGGGCAGGGACATGTGGATCCACAAAAGGTGCCAGGACATAATCAGCCACCTGCCTGTCCAAGGCCTTGGGGCAGGGATGGCATGGTCCAACCAC